TATATATTTTTTTTTAGCAACCTGATATCTCATGGACAGCAATGGTGGAGATGTGGAGAATTCTGATGTTAAACTATAAGATCAGCAAATGCGTGAGTTGACATTCAGTTTCCGCATGCCCTGTAGAGCGTATTGGAAAATGTGATAGGGCGATCTATCCTATCAGCCAAGCTTCTAGATGACGTCAGGGACGCAGGCGCAGTATTTCTATTAAAAAGCTTATCGCAGCACATACTAGCCAAGATTCTGGTTAATGTCAGGCACGCAAGCGCAGCACTTCCTTCTCCGCACAACTAGCGTATTGGAGAGTGACGTCACGGACGCATGCGCAACACGTCACTTGGCATTTGTGAAAGGCCAGCCTTTCTATCAAATTTGCCAATGATGTCGGCCCATTAAAGCCGGACGCATGCGCAGTGCCCCGCTTTTCCCTGACTCATAAATTGTGACGTTTTCAAGGTGCAGTCCGTAGACCCGGAAACTTTTGCGTTCCAGCGAGTCACTGCAGAAAGTCTCGCGACGCTTGGTTTTCGTCGCAGAAGATGGAGGCCTCCGGTTCCCTGATTGTCAACAACAAAATGAGGACCGGAGCGGGCGGAATCGGTGCTGGCAGCCCTCTACCAGGAAAGGGAAGAGAATATAACCGGAACCAACGAAAAGATTCGGAGGTGAGCAGGAACAGATTATCCGTGGTTTACTCAGCTCGGTTGACCGGGTTACATTAAAAGGTGGTCAAGAAATAATGTACAATGTTGACAGTTTGTATTATTGGCAAACAGGAAAACTGTCCAAGTGATGCAGGTATCTCTGTAGCAGGAAATCTCCATTACTCTGATATCAGCCCCTGTGTTTGCAAGGAATGTGCGCACTGTCAGTGAGAATGTATAGTAATGTCTTCCCTCTGTAAGCTGGGCTGGAAATACTCTCAGCTAACTCTGTCACTACCACCACAGCGGCTGCTTTGACTTGCTAGGATAGTCATTGCATAGAGTAGGACTGCAACCACCGAACTGAATCATTGATAATGAGAGTAGTTATCAACTATTCTCATTATCGATTAGTTGGTTGGATCCCCTAGCTCTCTGCTCCATGCTGGGAGGAGGGCACAGCAAGCAGTGGACGGGTGCAACAGCCAGTCTACTATTGGCTATTGCAATTTAAAATGGCCAATAGCAGGCTGGCTATTGCACCAGTCCACTAGCTGCTGTATTTACATTCAGCTGCACTCTGTGAAATCTTGCCACTGGCCGCTGTCATTCCCAGGCTGAAGCTTTTCAACTGTCATGAGCTTACAATACAATTATTATTTTTTTAAATTATAAAAGAGGGGAAAAAGTAATTTTCGCTTTCGGCCTGACAAATTCTGCTGCGGGAGGTGCATTGCAGTGCCATTCATTTCAATGGCACCCCAAACACGCCACCCACCCACAGTGTGATACCCTGCACTGGAACGCATGGTACCGCAATGCTGTGCGTTCCAGTGCAGTGTGATTGCATAAACTTGTACATGCAGTTTGATTCTGAAGTAGGCGAATTGATAGCTAGCTAGATAGACAGTGCAGCCTGTCCAGAGACCTGGAGGCTGGGAGAGGTGCACATTTTTTATATAATGTATTGGTGGGGTGAAATAATAAAAACGGATTCAATGTTTCACAGAATCTGATTCATGGCTTGTTCACACTATCCAATTCGTTCAGGGCACAGTTCCATGCCATGAACGCACTGGATCGCATAAACAATGCCTCCCCATGTTCTGGGACGGGAGGGGGTGTGGTGGTGCCATTCATATCAATAGCAACACCGACACGCCTCCCGCCTGCACTGGAACATGTACTACCCTGCGATCGCACTGGAATGCAGGGCATTACAGTACCACGTGTTCTGATGCGTGTGATCGCACTGCTGGTGGGAGGCATGTCTATGAATGGCACCACCATGCTCCCTCTCCACCCAAGAATGCAAGAAGGCTTTGTTTATGCCTGTAGTGCTCTACTTGTGGGTCGTGACCCAAAAGTGGAATGTTGAGATAGATCACCTGCACTCCATACAGCATACAGACCTTCTGCTACTGGTATTGATAACACGGATGGTGCCATGTAGCAGGAATGTCAGAAGTGGAAATCACCAGCACTTAACTTGTATGCATGAAACGTGGTCACTTTTATTAAATGAAATCATGTCACATGCGCCGTCAAGCCAACGTTTGAGGGCCACACAGGGTCCCTTCCTCAGGGCAACAGTGGCACATGTCGCCCTGAGGAAGGGACCCGGCGTGGCCTCTAAACCTTGGCTTGATGACACGTGACATGATATACTTTATTAAAAGCGACCAATGGGAGAGATTCTGCAGTAGTGCACTGTATCAACAGGTGTGTGCAAAGAGTTGGAGGCAGAAAAACACTTCTTTAATGGCATCATTTTGTGATGCTTAAAATGTCCAATCCACTAAACTATAAAAGAATAAACAATCTAGAAAATGTAATTCAGGGAGAAAATCTCGAAAAATCCATCCTTGTACTAGTTTCTTCAGGACCTACATGAAGAATGTTAACACAAAAACTAATAGCAAGCGAGAGCTTGTAATATTCTCTTATAGGTTGAGAATTTATAGACCCCTATATAATGTTGTGGATTAATGTAGGGTAACTAATCAGTAATCCGTGTTCAGGACTAGTGTATGTCCTGACAGCTGAAATGTGTTCTCTGATTGGTTACCATGGGTCATGGGTTTTACGTTTGCTCTCATGGTTATGTGCTATCTTTTCTAAACATAAATGTTTTTACAGTTAAATTGCACTTTACATATATTTTATTTTTAATTACAATCTCTTTAAAAACACCATTACGTATAATCAATCTGCTATTGTTGCAGGGCTATTCGGAGTCTCCTGACCTAGAATTTGTGTATACTGATGCAGACAGATGGGCTGCTGAACTTTCAGGTATGACCATGATATGCTTGGGCCTCTGTTCATATCAATTTATTATAATGCATGGATGATTAGCGAGCACTAGGTGACTTGTATTGGCTTATTTAGTATGGCAGTGAACAGAGCGTATGGGAATATGCAAGCCCGCATTCACAGCTGTGCGTGCCGTGAACGCATGTCACATTCGTGCGTGTTTTTTCATATATCTGAGAAGTGGACATAAATATCTGCTTATCCTGCTGTTATCTGCTGCTTTCTGTGACCGGTTGACAATGCTATCCACACGCTCCCAATGCAGGTGTATTGTTGTCATCTCTGTGTGTGCATTTCTGCACAGGAACTACAAACAGTGGTGCCAGTCCTGCAATCCTCTCCTTTGCAACACTCAGCAGTGCTTGGCAGACGGCTGTGCATTGTGAATATGGCTCAGCGGGAAAAATGGCAAGGGAGCCTGGGAATTGTAGCCTTCAAATTAGCAATCCTCTCCTTTGCAACACCCAGCAGTGCCTGGCTGACAGCAGACGGCTGTGCATTGTGAATAAGGATTAGAGGGAAAAATGGCAAGGGAGCCTGGGAAGTGTAGCCTTCAAATTGCAGGGATGTCAGTGGAAGTGGTGATCCACTGCAGCTTCTGCCCACCCTCAGGCCCGGTCTGTAGAGACTTAGATCTTAATAATAGACCATGACTGCTAATTTGAACCACAAAAAAAGGTATGCTGTGCTATTTTGAATACTCAAAAAACTTTAATTTTCTATGCACTATACCCTGCTTGCTCGTGGTAAGCAGAGTTTACATTTATCTACTTTACATTGACCCTCTACTGCTACTTATGACCAAGGAAGTTGGATGGATTTAACAGGATGCAAATAGTTATGCTATCAAGACTTAAATAATTTGGAAAACTATGTAAATTGGTTATTAACAGGAAGAAAGTCATATGGGATCCTACGTATATTACATAAGCTTATGTTTAATACCAACACCCAAGCTCAAAGCTATACATAAAATTAAAAGAAGGAATCTGAGGGGGGGAGGAGTACACTGCTTGGCTACAACAGGTGCATACATATAGAGACTACTCCTTTTAAAACTATGGGGGTAACCTTTTTATACCATAGTTCTCTTTAGGGTCATGGGAGGACATATACTAACCTCCTCCCATGACCCAAAGCTCAGTATATAGCGAGCTATTGTCCACTATATACTGAGCGCGCCACAGCCGGGACGGATACAGACAATACTGAGATCCACCCAGCTGGCTGATTGACAGTGGGCTCTGCCTATCTAGAGGCAGAGCCAGCTGTACCCGCCCCCTCCCCCGTCCATTCCCCAGTCAGCACTGGAGGATCGGAGATGGGAGGGGGGGAATTCCTGCGGGGAGCGGTGGCTGACAGTCACCGCTCTCTGCAGGGAGATAATCGAAAAGTGAGCAAGCGACGGTATGTGTTCGCTCATTTCCCGATCTATAGAGCCGATGTGTTACAGTTTCAATGTCACACATCGGCTCTAACTATGAGGATGAGTGCAAATCACTCACCTCATAGTTCTCCTTTTAAGCTTGAGTGATTATGTTTAAAGTGGACTGTCTTCCTGCACTGGGTTGTTTTGCTAAACTAAATATGTTTAAAAAAAACTTTCCCCATCTGCAAAAGGCTGCTTTTGATGCAGTTGAGACACTTGGAATTCCAAAAGTTTGTTAAATGAAAATACATTGAGAGGAATGTATCAAGACTGGAGCAGACAAAAGCTGGAGCAGCTGTTCATGGAAACCAATCAGCTTCTCTCTTCAGTTTGTTGTGTTAAGATTTGAAAATGAAAGAGAGAAGCTGATTGGTTTCCATGCACAGCTGCTCCAGATTTGGTCTGCCCCAGTTTTGATAAAATCCGCCCCATTGTTTCGACAACGTGTTACAGAAGAGTAGAGTCAGTGCAGAGCTTTGTCTCAGTGGAGCAATCTAGCCATATGTCTATTTTGTTAAATGATGATTCCTGTGCTTGGCACAGCTCCATCCATAAACAGTGTGGACGGAGGAATCTCCACTGCCGGCTACTTTTTTTTCAGAAGCCACGGCTGCGATAATCCACTTCCTCTGCCAAACAATGACTGCATCTCATAGGATGCAGTCACAGTTCGGGGGATCATTTTTCCGGCTGGCTCAACTGACTTTTGTTAATCTGGGTGGTGCTTGCATTGCTGCCCATGGCTGGAATTTCGGCATGAATCTGCCAAAATTCTAGTCGTTTTGAACAACTACAAGCAGTAGAAGTATGCAAAATCATAAAGGGGGAAAAAAAAAGTTAGCAGTAAGGTAATTACTTACTGTCTCCGCCACTCGCTCCCATCCAAAGATCTGAAGATTCTCAAGTGGCCGAGCAGCATGATGGGGCGGGTGCATGCGCAGTACAGATCTTTGGCGGGGAGGAGAGACTAGCTTTAAGTCAATGCAGGCAGCCGTGACTGTGTGCGTTGGACAGATACCATGGGACAGAGAGACTGGAGTCTGCGGTGGATCAGAAACTGGCATCAGCGCTGGAGGGACTCCTGAAAACTACAGGAAAGAAGATAATCGGATCAAGTCATCATTTAAGGTAAGTCCTTAAAGCAGCATGGGGGGTTGTGACTTTATTGTCACTTTAACACCAGCACGAAAAGACCAGTGAGCATATTGGCGATTTATACATGTGAAAACTGTGGTGTTAGCAGGATCACACTGTAACTGCTCATATTCAAGTCATCCATTTATTTTGCTTGACTGAACAACACAGTTCTAATTTTAAAACTTTTATAATATTAAATAATCCTAATATATTTTTGTGCTTGCTCCTTCATGACAGAACTATACAGTTATACAGAAAGCCCCGAATTTCAGCTAAACAAGAAGTGCTTTAATGAGGACTTTCAAATACATGGTGAGTTGCCCCATTTCCTATTCTGAATAGATTGAGTGATTTATATTGGTGTTAGAATGAAAAAGTGGAAAATCAGGACCCGATCACACCACAACCCAGTGTGCTGCAATGCAGGCCTTTTTATTTGTTGCGGTGCAATGAATGGCAGCATAAGGCATGTAAAGTATGGTAACCGGTACCACAAGTGGTGTGACTCAGCTCTCAGGCATTTTCCTAGCTGAATTGAAAGAGTTGGCAATCTGCAGTTTTTTTATTTGAATATATTCATGCAGATTTGTCTCGGCTATTTAAAATGATGTTACTCAGTAATGCAGGCAGTTATTAATGATGACTTGAATGAATTTCAAGGATTAAAACCTACATGTTTTATATTTAAGTGAACCAAAAGGAAAAAAACAATTACAATTGCACCCGTTCGCTTACTGGTATGTTCATCAGTAACATGTTTACTTGTTACTAGTTTGAACCGCAAGTATGTAACAGTCTGTGAACCCATGACACTCCTGACCGCTTTTTCCATATAGGTTCAAGTGGGTGCAGCTGTGATCAACGGATGGCACCCGTTATTATGCACAAGTAGAAGTATGGACAACGGCACTCCAGATGCAGTACAGATGCGTCTATTTATTAACGGAAATGCACTAGGTGTTTATGCTGCATTTTCATTAATAAATAGACTCATCTGGAGTGCCAGTGTCCATACTTCTACTTGAACGCAAGTATAGTAACATTGCTCTGCCTTTTTGCTCTCTTGTGATTTCACCTTATTCATGCTTGGATACATGTACTTATCTAGGAGCCAGCAACAGATTAAGGGGTTAGAAATTGTGGAATTTGTCATTGCTTCTCTGTCCATTATGGATGAATATTTCCTTGTTACCTTTTTAAATCAAAATGGGTTTGTTTGAGTCATGGGACAGGTATGTGTGGCCAGATATCTCTCTTCCTGCCATTTATAGGGGACATATCATATCCAACAATTTGTAAAATTACCTTAAATCATTCTGCAGTTCCTACGTCTAGATGAAACAGGGCAAGTGTGACTGTGTTTGTGCAGTGGTCCCAGGTTTACATTCCCATGTATGCTTGCATGTCTGCAGTTGTAGCACTAGAAGGAATCTTGTGACCATTTTCCTATAGGGTCACCTTGCTGCAGACCCTATATTATTGGCTGGCAAATTTGGTTCTGGGCACAGGATGAAGGGAACAGTTGGCATAGATTTAGATGGTCCTCACTCTTAGCTATATACTGTACCTCCTCTCCTGATTCTTCACATCCGACTAGTGCAGACAGTTAATAGTAATCACTGTACATGGCCTCTTTTAGACCTTTGTAAGCATTCTAGTTGCCTTTTCTAGAATTCCTTGAGGCGGGCATTTGCCTAGCTTCCACTTTTAGTGCACTTTTTGTTTTTTTAGATGTTCCATATAATATAACTTTACTTGCTTAGTGTGTGAAATATTTACCTGATTTCAACATCTCTAAATATGTTATTTTTGCCTAATGTGTATTTTCAAGTACCCGATAAAAAATGGACAGAGCTAGATGTGTCCCAACAGCGTACTTACACCATGCGGCTTCTCGATGCGCTGGAAGTCACAGCCAGGGAGAAACGACTGAAGGTGGGCCGGGCTTTGCTATATCTAGCGCAAGGTAAGCCCAGAAAATAGAGAGGACAATAAAGTGTTTAAATATGCTTGTTCCCCCATGTGATATTTGTTGTATTGACACTGTTTTATTTAATATATTTGTAGGTACTTTTGGAGAGTGTAGCTGTGAAGCTGAGGTCCAGACCTGGCAACGACATAACATCTTCCTTTTGTTGGAAGCAGGGGCGTTTAATGCCCTTGTGGAACTGCTGAACATGGAAGTCGAGTGAGTAGCACTATTGAGTAAAGAATCTGTACGGCTGAATAGGGGAAAAAACCTTCTTTACAGCATACTACCTTTTCTGGACTGCTTTATAGTTTATTTTAGAGTTTCGGAAGTAGAATTATTGGCATTCTGTTTACCAGCTACATATGCAAATTATTGGGTTACACAGCTGAACAACCGTTTTTTTTAAATGTGGATAGAATGAAGAAGGGTTGGAATTTTTTGAAGGTTTGTATTGTTGCCTCTATATTCAGGGAGGTTTATCTTTACTTCCTTTTAACCTCTTGCCGTCCGCCCGCTAAGAAAAAACGGACGGATGGCAGACCCGCATCAGCGGGTTGCCGTCGCCAGACGGCATTTTTTTCCTGCTCGCACAGCTCCTTGCTGTTCTCCCTCTGTAGTGTGAATGCAGAAGTGATGTGTATTACATCACTTCCCCATTCACCTGTCAATCATCTGGCTCCTACTGCCAGAGAGAAGAAGCTGATGAAGCAAATCTGTGCTTCATCAGCTTCTTTTGGGGTCTCCAGGTGACATTAGGGGTCTAGAGACCCCTAATGTCTCCATAAAGGGGACCTGTCAGTGTACCTGTGCTATTATAGCTATTATATAGGGGGATGGTATCCCCCTATGTAATAGCAATAACAATAAGTGTAAAACAAAAATGTATATAAATAAAAAAAGTTTAAAAAAAGAAGTCAAAAATAAAAAAAGTAAACTCCCCCCTTCGTTTACGCACATATAAACGTAAATATGCGTCGCATGCGCTAGCGCGTGAAAATGACAATTGCGCTACACATGTTACATATTGAAGCAAACGTCACTCTATCGCTTGCCCATTCAGATGAAAGAGACAGGTACTCCTTTAAAGAAGGACCTCTCTTACTCACTTTCCCTGCACATCCTTCCACAGGGTGAGTCAGAGTTATGAGTCCTAACCATGTGTATGTTAAATTATATGTGAACCCAATCACTAAAATCTCATATAAGGTTTATCATTATAGTATTAGAAGGAAATTGGTTAGAAACAAAGCCTACACTGGAAACCTGTACTGCAGCTGCCTCTCCCAGGATTGATGCATCCTTAAATCGAGCCAACCCTCAACTGCATGTGCTCCCTCTAAAGCATCCTGTCCTTTGGATGTTGCCAACATGAGTATGCCAGGGCCCAGGACCTGTAGTATTAAAGCGGACCTTTACCCATATCTTTGAAATAACAACAAACACACCTTTTGGAAATGTTTAGTAATGACAATCTACAAACACATACTTCTAGATAATTGCAGACTTTGTATTCTTTACATACCTTATTTCTCTTTTCTTCCCCAGTCTTCTGACAGTGGCCATGTTTACTAGGGGCAGATTACTAGATCTCATTACTTCCTGGATTTCTGGCACATGTGACTAGGACATGTGACCATGCACATCATCTCAGGGGAGGGAAATGCCTTTCCCTGAGATCTCATGAGATTACAGATGAGATTTCCCAGCAATGCTCTGCTGATGACCAGGCAATCCCAGTGTGCATTGTGTTGGCAAACTGAAGTCATTTGCACTTTCAAAGCAGGAAGTGAATGCTCTGCAAGTGTAAGTATTTCAAAATTGCAGCATTTTACACCTGACATGTCTATGCTATGATTAATCACCATACATACATACATGCATACATACATACATACATACATACATACATACATACATACAGGGATGCATTGGTAGAATTTGATTTTTGAGCATAAAGGTTTGCTTTAAACTTTAATGCTAACAGAATAGAAGGATTAAAAAGAGCCAGCATGTGAGCCTAGAATCCGTTAGCTTTTGCCTAAGCACTTTACAGCACATGCTGCCCACTGTCAGACCTCTCTATAATCCTGTCTTGCACATACTGCCCATGCTGTCATAGCATCTTCTCTTGTGGTACTGCCTCCTATCTTATTCTCTGCACCCTTGGCATGTAATTACTTCTGTTCTGCACATATTTCCCATCCTCATACCTTCTGCAATCCTCTCCTGCACATATTTCCCACCCTACACTCCTCTCTTGCACGTATTGGACATTCTTATGTCCCGTGCACTGTTTTCCTGCACAAATTAAATATGATGCTCTGTCCGTTCAGTTGAACTATCCATAGAATTGAATGGGTTAAGCACAGCTCATATTTGGGCCCAGCTCATAAAATTGCTCAGAAGCAGCTGTGTGGCCTCTTTTGCAATATCTTGCTGGATCGGGACAGGTGAGTATAAAACTCATGGGGTCAGTGGTATCTACAGTATAATTGTAACTATACCAAAGTTGCAGTTTAATTTTTACGTCTTCCTCCTCCTCATCACATAGCTGCCTTCCTCAATAGCTGCAAAGAAGTTCATATTAATGGGCCAAGCCCTATGGTTGGGCCAAGCATGTTCCAACCATAGGCATCCACTGGACATATTAGAAAAGTGGCTCACATCCCATTAATTAATATCTTATAATCTTCCAAAGACCTCAGACATATGTCACTCAAATTAAAATAAAACCGCATATAGTGTAATCCACTTTTATTCAAGTAAACAAAAAGACGTGTATGCCGCGACTATGCATGTTGCACTAACATTAATCACAAAGTGTAAACCGTCGCAATTAAATAGTCCCATTGGTCTTTATCATCATGCTGCTAGATAGTCCCTTTGGTCTTTATTATCAATGGCATATTCCGTTCCTGCATGTGAGGACTGCTGGAAATATGATTGCAGCTTTTTGGGTTTACACTTAGCAATAGGTATAAACATATTGCCAGTTGCAACATTTATTGCTAAACATTTGCTTGTTTGTGATACAGCTGTCAAATTGTTCAAAGTTTTAATATTTAACACTTCTTATGTTCCTAGAAACAGTGCAGCCTGTAGCAATGCTGTTCGGAAACCCGCGATTTCCCTAGCTGACAGTACAGATCTGCGGTAAGATGAAATTGCACTAGAAATTGCGCAATACTCTAAAAACGTATAATTTTTCTCTTGATTAGCTTAATTTCAATAGCTTATATTAACTCATATTCATTTATTTTAGTGTTCTGTTGAACATTATGTACCTGATAGTAGATGTATTGCGTGAAGAAGAAGAATCTGACACCGAGGAGTGGAAATCCATGAGGCAGACATTCCGCACTGAGCTAGGTAAAAAAGATACCCGTATATACTGTTTATCCTGTTACACAGCACTATAGACTGTAGGCACTTGTGCACCGGTGTTACAATATTATCAGAGGCACAGTTATAAAAACATAGGAAATCTTGAATAGCTATTCTTTTCGCCTATTAATTTAGAGAGATGCTGACATTGTGTTTCTATCTGTATTAAAAGTTAAAATATTTGATATTGGGTATTGCTACCTTTCTACAATTTTTGCTTCTATTTATGTGCTGCTCATCTGCTAACTCAAAATTGCTTTTTACCTGTATTACAATGGCATTCAATACAGGATCCCCACTATATAACAATGAACCTTTTGCCGTGATGCTCTTTGGTATGGTGACAAAGTTTTGCAGTGGACACGCTCCGCATTTTCCAATGAAAAAGGTGCTGTTGTTACTGTGGAAGACTGTGTTGGTAAGTTTTTATTCCAGAATTTAATTGGTTCATTTTAATTTCGTATGTTACTGAAAACTGTTATTTTTCCAGTGCACCCTGGGAGGATTTGAAGAGCTACAGGGGACGAAAGCAGAAAAGCGAAAGACTTTGGGGCTACCACCTCTTCCTGAAGACAGTATAAAAGTTATTCGTAACATGAGAGCTGCTTCCCCACCAGCATCAGCTTCTGATCTTATTGAACAGCAGCAAAGGAGGGGTCGGCGAGAGCACAAGGTAAGGAGGAGCATGCTAATGAGCATCTATGTACTTTACAGGAAAAGAAAAAGGTACACTTAACCCCTTCGTGACTGACGACATACAGTGTACGTCGCCAGCATCGGGGCTGTTTAAACAGACTCACAGTTGAGAATTAAGATGCATAAAGGGAGGAAATCCCTTATGCTCAATACTTCACATTTTCATCCAGACACTGGTGCAGTGCACCAATCCAACGTATTCCCTTTTGTCAGTAGTTTAGTGATCCTTTACATCAGGACTCGACAAATCCCAGGCGCCAGGTCGCTAATGCAACTAAAAATTGCATCCTGGCCCCTAGGCTTTTGTCACCCATTCCTTCCGCCGCCGCCGCCTAAATAAACTCCTGCCGTTCTCCTCCCTGCCGCAGACTCACAGACAGTCAGAGGGGACACAGATTGCTGCAGCTGATTATAGCCTGTAAGGAGGGAACGCTGACAGTCTGTGAGTCTGCAGCGGGGAGGAGAATGGCTGAGTTCATTGCAGCGGTGGTGGGAGAAGAAACGAGCCTGCATTCCCCACGCTGCCCCTGCCGCCAGCTGTGATCAGTCTGCAATCCAGCGGCCGGCAGCAATAGCCAGCTTGCTATTGGCTATTTTAAATTGCACTAGGCAAAAGCAGGCTGGCTATCGCACCTTCCCACTGCCTGCTGTCATTTAGCAGAGGAGGACCTGAAGGAGAACTGTTTATTTTTGCCTTTTGCCCAGACTGTCATTTGCTGTAAGAAGCAGTGCCCTGCTTGGATATTAGTCGTCATCACCAGAAATGAATTTACAGAGGCACTGAAATGGGCAACTTTCCAAAAAGATTACTGGACACTGCTGCAATGAATAGACAAACAATATCTGCAGAGACCAGTGGTAATTCTGCAGTGGTCCAATACACCCCTTGCTGAGGTAAAGCTAGAGCTCTCCAATCAGCAGGGAGAAATGTCCAACATGCCTGCAACTGGATGGAGCAGACATTCTGGCTATCTGTAGTGAGACAACACAAATGTCCTCTGCAGCATGCTGACTGGAAAAGGCTCTTCTACTTGGGCTGTGGCTGCTTTCTAAAGAAAACAAACTAAGACGTTGCTCCTGGAATGTATTTAGATCATTTAAACTGGAAGTATAATTGGGCTTACACAAATGTTGTTTTTATATTGCCTTCCTGTAATCACCTGTACAGCTGCATTTAGATGGCAAGACAGAGAATGGGCACTTCGAGACAGTCAGGGCTCCTTAACTTTACCTCGGTGGCTATTTAAAATGGAGAGTGGATACAGTGTTTTAACAGGTCATGCAGCAGGGCTCATCTCCCTGAACCTCAATCCTGAAGCCCTCAAAGACACATTTGTAAAGCACACCAATTAGCTTTATACATGTGCAGGTGTTTTCTTTTGATTTTGTTTTTGCAGTAGTATGGCCATGGTATGGCGTGAATTCAATATAATTAATTTAAACTTGGTGGAGGTGAAATAAAGACTTTGTGTTTATGCTTGATTACAGCTCTAGATGTTAAAGTGAACCTGTACCCATATCTTAAAAATAACACAACAAACACACCTTTTAAAAATGTTTAGTAATGACAATCTAAAAACACATACTACATTATAAACACGACATATGTGTGGGTTTTTTTCCAGGCTCTTATCAAGCAAGATAACCTTGATGCTTTTAATGAGCGAGACCCTTACAAAACAGATGATTCTCGTGACGAAGAGGAGGAAAATGATGAAGATAATAGTCTGGAGGCAGAACCTTTCCCTTTGGAGCGGGAAGAAATAATGCCACCAGCAGTTACACAGCCTGCTGTTGATCGTCTTGCTTTTCAGAAAGGTTTACCGTGGGCACCCAAAGTAAGGTGAGAGAGGGAAATTGATGGCTAGTGGTGCATGTTCTGAGATTTTAAATGCATCATTTTTCATAATATCCATTCTCATGTGAAATGGATGTTTTTAAATATATTTTTTGCTTTGTCGAACAGGGAGAAAGACATTGAGATTTTCTTGGAATCTAGTCGCAGTAAATTCATTGGATACACTCTCGGAAGGTAAGATGAATACTCAGTTCTATCGTTTTTAATTTTCTTATTTTTTTTTTTTTATCCACTGCTTTACTCTTGTATATGTTCTCTTGATTATCACAGTGACACTGATACAGTTGTTGGTTTACCAAGGCCCATTCATGAAAGCATTCGCACTTTAAAGCTCGTAAGTATGCACTTGGTATAAGATTAATTGCAGTGAGTATACACCAAAGGTAATCCTAGAAAAATACAGCCTATCAAAACGGGCTAAAGGGATTTAGCTGTAATAAAAAATATTTAAAGTTTTATTATTTAATTTCAGTAAAATATACACCCTCCCTTATCCAGATTAAAGTGTATTTCCAGCCAATTTTTCCCATAGTCATTTTCCAGGACAGCATTGCGAGAGAGAGTCTCCTCTCCAAACCACAGGAAACACATCACCCATTCAGATTCATAAGACCTGCCTCTTCTCCAGTCCCTCAGTCATTGTGTTTCCTCAGTCAACTGGGGAATGTGTCACTAGAATGCTGGGGGAGCCTCCATCGCTAAATTCTGTCTGGCTGTTTGTCTGGTGAGTGCAGGTGCCTTCCTACCCGTTTTTAGGTCTCCAGTGGTCCTAGGCAGGCGAAGGGGGTTTGCTGACTCTCCGTTCTTCAGTGCCCGCAGGATGGACTCTGCCTAACCTCTGCAATTTTCGGCTGCAGTGAACACAGGTCCTTCTGGCACTAGCCCAGCTCAAGTAGGATTTTTTTGATTGAATCCCACCTCCCTGTCCCCTCTGACCATCTTTCTCCTCCCGGGCCCCTTGGTGCAGGGCGTTTAGGTGTTGAGAGGCACTCTGTCCTTGGGTGTTTGGCGGTATTTTGGATGTGGGTTTAACCTTCTTATAGGTACTCTTTTTGGCAGGCTAAGGCTTTTGAATAAAACCAGGATTGCTTCCAAGAAGAAATGCCGTTTTTTTTTTGGACAAGCTTAGCTACAGCTGCTCTAAAACTTTGTGCCAACAGTGTATTGATGGTCTCAATGAACTTGAAATTTTGAGCCCTGATCTACAGTACATAATATCAAAAGATTCAGAGAATCTGGAGAAATGTCTGTGCGCAAGGGACATGGCTGAAACGCAATATTGGATGCCTGTGGTCTTTGGGCCTTCAGACAGCACTGCCTTAAAAATAGGCATGATTCTGTGATGCACATCACTGCATGGGCTCAGGAATACTTCCAAAAATCATTGTCTGTAAGCACAGGTCGGCGTACCATCCAAAAATGCAAGTTAAAGCTCATTCAAAGAAGTGATATCTGAACATGATCCACAAATGACACCGTCTTCTCTAGGCGGAATCTCATTTAAAATGGTCTGTTGCATAGTGGAAAACTGTTCTGTGATAAGATGAATGGAAATTTGACATTCTTTTTGGCAACCATGGGTGCGGCGTACTCCGGACTAAAGAGGAGAGGGACCTTCCGGCTTGTTATCAGCGCTCAGTTTAAAAGCCTGCATCTCTGATGGTATGGGGGTGCATTAGTGCTTATGCAATGGGCAGCTTACACATCTGGAAAGGCACCATCAATGCTGAATTATATATATTCCGGTTTTAGAGCAGCATATACTCTCATTCAGATGGTGTCTTTTTCAGGGAAGGCCTTGAAAATTTCTGCAGGACAATGCTAAACCCCATACTGCATCTATGACAACCACATGACTTTGTAGTAGAAGAGTCTGGGTGCTTGACTAGCCTGCCTGCAGTCCAGAAGTTTCAACAATTAAAAATATTTGGTGCATTTTAAAATGAAAAATATGGTCAAAGAAGACCCAGGACTGCTGAGCAGTTAGAATCCTATATCAGGCAAGACTGGGGACAACATTCCTCTCCGAAAACTCCAGCAACTGGTCTCCCCAGTTCCCAGACGTTTACAGAGTGTTGTTAAAAGAAGAGGGGGTGCTACACCGTGGTTAACATGGCCCTGTCCCAACTTTTTTGAGACGTTTTGCTGCCATCAATTTCCAAATTACCTTTTTTTTTTTCTTTTTCTTTTTTTTCTTCATTTCTTACATTTTCTCAGTTTAACCATTTTGATATGTTTTCTATTGTGAAAAAAATATGGGTTTGAGATTTGTCATTCATTGCCTTCTGTGTTTTTTTGGAATGGGACTGTAAGCTCCAGGCAGATGCTCTCCCAGAATGTCCAGATGTTCTGTCCCATGGACCAGTTTACCATCCTAATTCAGTTGCTCGCTTTAACAGCGTGGATGTTGAGGCCTAGCTTTTGAGGGACAGGAGCATCTCTGAATCAGTCTTTCCCATGATGCTGGGAGCGAGGGGGTCCTCTCCCCACATGGTTTCTCATTGCACATGGAAGGCAAATCCTGGCTTTTCTGCAATTGGGCCCTGATCAGCATTTGGCCCTGAGTACTATCAAGGTGAAGTTCTTGGCACTTGCAATCTTGTTCTAGAGACTGATAGCTTCCCATTTTTTAATTAGGACTTTGGTGCAGGATGTCTTTCCTGTGACTTTGTGGGATCTGATTGTAGTTCTCCTGGCACTTCAGAAACCACCTTCTCAAACTGTTGGGGATATTCTCCTTTCCACTCTCACAGTCTTGCTTTTCATACTCTCATCACCTCTCCAAGGCATATGTCTGAACTGGCAGCTTTGCCCATTAAAGAAGCCTTGCTGGTCTTACAAAGGGACAAGGTGATGTTGAGCCTTTTTTTTTCCCTAAGGGTGTTTTGGATTTTCATCTCAACCAGGACATCTGTTCTTCCACTCTTCTGTTCATCTGCAGTTGAACAGAAGGAGTTCGCTCTCCATTGCCTGGATGCAGTTTGTGCTGTGCTCATTTAATTCACAGCCACTGTTTCTATTAGAAAGACTGATGCACTTATTATCATCCCTGATGGTCTCCATCCAGATCAATATTCAAGCTTATGGTCTTTTTGGCATCAAGCTACTGTTTCCTAGTTCTCCACGTTTTACCATATCAGGCCTCCTTTGATGCCAGCTTCTGGTGTAAGGTCCTTCAGGCGGCTCTTTGAATTGCAGGCAGTCCTTAGTTCTGTTGTTTTTTTGCGGGATTGTTAGTGTTGCTGTTGTCCACCCCTCACTTGGACTGTGTCCCATTGCTCTGTGTCTGTGCTCATGCACTTGGTACTATGTTTCCACCAAAGTGAGGCATGGGGTTTTACCAGGCTGGTCACTGTTTTGTTTGTTTGTTTACCAGTGCAGGTGGTAGTGTAACCCAACAGACTCTGAATTCCTGTGTCCCTTTATGAAAACAAAAAAAATATATTAATTTACATTTTTTAACATAAATTTAAAAGAAATTAAAGCGCCCCATCCCCACACATGCACATATAAACACACAACCCTCATATGGGACACGTGTAAACAATTGCGCAGTGCATAATAAGTGGTCCTGTGCATGCTGAGGTAAGCAGAATATCTCTATGACCATTTATGGTTAACTGTAAGATGATAAGCTGTAAAGTTTTCTAATGGATCACCTGTGAAAAATGTTGCGTATTATGGTTTGTCGCCATTTCGCGTGTGAATGCCGTTCGAAGCCTTGACATATTTGGTATCTATTGACGTGATTCAATCTCCTCTTACCTTATTGTGTTTTCTGTGCACTAAAATTAATTTAAATGTATTTTTTTTACTGAAAATCTAGATTTGATAAAGTTGTGCTAATATGCATTTTCATGAAAAAAATTGATCCAGCGGTGAAAAGGTTGAGAGACGTTTTTTGGCCCTGGCTGTTTGTTTTCATTTGGCTGTTGGCAAAGCATTCCATAGTTCACACCTTTTTTTCAGGAGGTGACTAATGCTATTCCCTCTGTGAGGCATCCCCTTGAGCTGTAGATCTTCAGAAACCTCCGTTCATACTCTTCACAGAGATTCCTCTGCTGTTTTTGTCTCACAAGGTGGCTTTTTTTTATCGCCATTACCTTGACTAGGAGAGACTCATAGCTGGCAGCTTTACTGCATAACACTGCATTCTTTGTTTTCCATAGGGAAAAATGGGATTATTTTGTAATTGCCAAAGGATTCTTTTCTCCGACATTCTCCCCTGGTCTTCTTCTTCTTCTTTCTTCTTTCTTCTTTCTTCTTTCTTCTTTCTTCTTTCTTCTTTCTTCTTTCTTCTCGAATGAGCTGATCTCTTTTCCATGTAGGTCGAAAAAAAATACTAAAAAGGCTGTGCATTTCCTTGAAATATTTATTTATGTAAGTGGTCAATTTACCGCGGAACCCAGAAATATAAAAAAGGGAGAATACACAGCAAAAAGGGATACCTAGGATATGTTTCTTATACAGTACAATAATAATAATTAAAAAAACAAAACACTTCAGCCTCTTTCCTTTTTTTCTTGTCCTTTTTCAAGATACTTTGCTGAAATCTTACTTTATGTTTTATAGAAATCATAATTTTAGTACTGTTAGTGTTAAATCAGCTAGATATTTAGAGCAACAGAAAATGTAAGTTTTAGCCAACAAGATTGACATATATAAAACTAAAACATTTTCCACAAAAAGTCACTATTCATGATTTACAATCAATACTGAAAACACTGCTGAAAGTTTACCCCTTTCAGGTTACATTCAAGTATTGCAGCATCTGATGAGTCTTGTTTTATTGATTTATAAATTGCTTGAGTTGTAACTGAAACATTGTCTCTTCAACAGCACAAATACACATCTATCGCTGAAGTTCAAATTCGCCTAGAGGAGGAATTCTTGAAGTGTCCACTATCTGGGGTATGTAACATTTATTTTAAGATGGAGACGGTCTGGTATAGTTTACAATATTTGGAAACCCTAACATTAAACTTCAGTTATTTGCTTCCTTTTGGTCTGTTAAATATATTATTAAAATAGTTTTGATATGTAAAAACAATACCAGTTTATCCTACCAGAAATCTTGTGAGCTGATAACATCTTGTGCTCTCTGCCTTTGCTTACTGTTTTAAGTTAGCATTGTTCCCAGTTCTTGCTATGAACTGCAGAACACCTACTCCTGTGTTTTATAAAGAGGAGATGGGAAGGTGTTTTTTAGTCCTAAACACTTTCCTAGGGTGACAATACTGCTCCTCTTTGGATACAGTATGGTGAGTGTTGTCACCTTAAGATCAGAGGTGTGTTGGTAGCAGGATCACCAGGTGAAAATAAAGGAAAGAAAGCCTCATAAATAAAACTTATGATGCTGGACTGGTAAACTTTATTATGACATTTTCTTTCCTTAAGAACATACGTTTTTAGATGTGCTTTAAATTGCTTATTGGATTTGACATTTGATTTTCTGTTTAACATTAGGGTGAAGAAGAAGTTGAACAAGTGCCTGCAGAGATTTTATATCAGGGACTCCTCCCTAGCCTACCCCAGTATATGGTAAGCAAACAGTGTCCTGTTGCTGGTTTTCCAGTAGTTATATATCCTACATTTAACACAGTAGAGGGGGTGAAAGATAAGAGAAAGAATACCCACTCCTTTTTGAAAAAAATACACTGTGCACTTGGAAACAATAACTAGAGCAATAAGCCAAATTGTCACCCTGCTCTTAGTCAAGGTCCAGGTGTATGAACCCAAAGCAAGTGAACTGTACAAATAGAATCTACTGTCCCACCAACAAAAATGCTCAGGGTGTGCAGGCTCAGCAATAATAAGGAACCACTGGATTTCCAAGCAGGCAAGCAGGAACCTTTTATTATACATAGGGGTCTATTCACAAAAGGGTGAAGAGTTTGGAGAAGGCAGGAGAAGTGAACAATCTAGGACAACATAGCTGAACTGGAAAGTGAGCTGAATTGGAGAATTTCTCCAAATCAGCTATGGTTGTCCTAGATTGTTCACTTCTCCTGCCTTCTCCAAACCCTTTACCCTCTTGTGAATAGACCCCATAGTATTGTGCTACTGACAGCCATGTTGGTGGTTGTTTGCCACCCCTAGCAGCCCTGCCTCCCTAAGCCACGTCATATGTAAATTTCTTTTAGATTGCCTTGCTGAAGATCCTTCTAGCTGCAGCTCCGACTTCCAAAGCCAAGACAGATTCTATTAATATCCTGGCAGATGTCCTTCCAGAAGAGATGCCGTAAGTGTTACTTTTAAGTAAATTGCTGGTTTTGTTTTTTTTTGTTTTAAAATTTACTCACCTGTGGCTTTTTTTTTTTTTAAAGAACCACTGTATTGCAGAGCATGAAACTTGGAGTAGATGTGAATCGACACAAAGAGATAATTGTTAAAGCTATTTCTGCTGTGCTGCTGCTCTTACTTAAACACTTCAAACTGAATCACATTTACCAGGTTTGTTTCTTTTTATATGAAATATTAGAAAAAAAAATTCCAAATATCAAATATGCCATTCTGTTCATAATATAGTATTTAATTTTCTTTTTGTTTCAATACCTATCATATGCAGTGGTGCTTTACATTTTGGTAACCCTTTTGAATTGTCAGTATCATGCAAGTCCTAAAACTAGAAAGCAGTTAAAACCACATGGCTGGTTGACTTACTGTACTTGAAGGAAATGATCCACAGTTACTTTACATATGTGTCTGGCAAAAGTATGAAAACTTTTGCTTTCAGTAACTGGTGGCCCCCCCTTGTGAATTGTTTCTTAAACGAGAAATATGAGGTGAGTGCTTTTCACTCACCTCATAGCTTTAGCCGACCTGTGACAATGAGACTGTCACAGGGCGGCTCAGTAGATCGAGAGGTGAGCGAACACATACCCGCGTTCACTCGCCTCTCGAGCCTGTCACAGCTCTCTGCCGTGACAGGGAAGGGGCTGGATTCCCCCCGCTCCGATCCGCCAGCGCTGACTGGCGGAACGGATGGGGGCGGGTACAGCTGGCTCTGCCTCTAGATAGGCAGAGCCAGCTGTCACTCACGCAGCTGGGCAGATCCCGCCACAATTGTTGGGATCCGCTTCAGCTGCGGCGTCTCAGTATACCACGAGATGTAGCTCGCGGTATACTGAGCCTAGGGTGACGGGAGGACGCTAGTTTGTGTCCTCCCGTTACCCTAAGGAGAACTATGGGGCAAAGCCTTAACCCCATAGTTCTCCTTTAAGGAAATATGGCTATATTTACTAATGATCCCCCACAGTTTGCTTTTCAAATAGGACCAGGAAGTGCAGAATTATATTTCTTGATATTTAGCTTTCTTACAAACATTTGTATATCTAATGTATGTTTCAAACTTATTAATGTCTCTAAACGGTGCAGATTTTAATCCTTAATGTAAAACCTTTTGTTCATCTTGGGATGGTTGGGCCGAGTTAATATTAAATATACCTTCCTCTACCACATTCTGTTTCTTCTTTTCCTCCCACCTCTACACCGTCTCTTGCATACCCCCTTTCTTTTCTGTTCCCAAATCCTTCTCTTTAATATCCATTCTCTCCGGTTCTTTGTTTGGGGCCATCCTTCATTATTTCTGCTCCTGTGTGGGGACCATATTTCCCCTCGATGTCTGCCCCATTCTGTATTGGGGTGTTTCCCCCAGTACCTGTCCCAAATCATACAGGGAGATAAAACTCCGGTAAGTAGGGGACATGACTCTCTGTACGCCTCACTGTGTGTTGTGACCCCAAATAGTCAGTGGCAGCACACCCAGCATTGCTGGTGATCCCTATGGTGGAGTCCTATGGGAGCCTTGTGGGGAGGGACAGATCAGGAAATAGTGATGTATCACAGAGAGTTCTGGATAGAAGCTTGGGGTCTGCCTACTCAACATGCAGAGCACACAGGGACCAATGCCTTGTGCTAATGTTAATATTAAATTAAAAAGTGACAGTGGTATGTTAGTGTGTGCTAATGTGGCAGCTGTGTTAGTCTGTAGTAATGTAACATCCACATGTCTGTTTGCCTGCCTGACCGTATGGTTGCCCGTAGTGATGAGCTGGGCCTTGCTATGAACCCAATTCGCCTGAGTTTGCCCGAACCCACTCAGACCCGTGATTTATCCCTTTAAGGTGTCCCCCCATTTATTTTAAAATGTTCGCAACCATGGTATTGCTACTTCTGTGTAACAGGGAAATAAATTAGTATGGAATGGATCAAGCTCCGGGTGCTTGCAGTGCCTGGTGGTGAGAAACTGTATTACTACTTGTGAAATGAAATTCAAATGTTTTTCAGTCTGCTTTTAATAGCAGAAACAATTTTATAATGATTTAATGATTATTGCTAAAAATAACTTTGATGTTTGGGGGATAAAGGTGTTAAAAAAAATAAAATGAGCCGTCATAGGTATCAGGTGTGCTAAGTATGCCACTGCACCTGACTTTAAAGCGGATCTTTACACTCAAAAATAACATTCTACCAATACATCCCTCTATGTATGATGATTAATAATAATAACATAGACACGTGGGGTATAAAATGCTATGATTTTGAAATACTTACACTTGCAGAGCATTCATTAACTGCTTTGAAAGGGCAAAATGACTTCAGTTTGTCAAAGCAATGCACACTGTGATTGCCTTGTCATCAGGAGAGCATTGCTGGGAATTCTCATCTGTAATTTCACGGGATCTCAGGGAAAGGCATTTTCCTCCCCTGAGATAATGTACATGACCACATGTCCTAGTCACATGTGCCAGAAATTCAGGAAGTAAATGGAGAGCTAGTAATCTGCCCTTAGTTAACTATCAGAGGACTGGGGAAGAATAGAGAAATAAGGTATGCAAAGAATACAAAGCCAGCTATTATCTAGAAGTATGCGTTTGTAGATTGTCATTACTAAACATTTCTAAAGGTGTGTTTGTTGTTATTGTAAAGATCTGGGTAAAGGTCCACTGTAATTTCGCCTTCAGATAAACGGAGAATCCCAGAGGTTCACATACTTTAGCCACACACAAATATGTAACTTTGGTGCATTGTGTTCAGTAAAGAACAATAATGTTTTTGTGAACTTTGTTAATTGGGTTCTCATTATCTCGTTTTAAGATGTGTGAAAAACAGATCACTTTTTAGGTCATATTCATTTCAAAATATGAAAGATTCAAAGGGGTTCACAACCTCTAAAGCACAATGCCAACGTATATTAGATTTTAGTTTGCTGTAATTTAGTTTGCTGTCATTTAGTTTGCTGTTTTAACGTGAAAGCCTTGTGGAACTGAAACAAGTGCCAAGTATTTTTCTGCTGTCTGTGCAAACAGGAATTGAGAGGAAATATCTAAAAAGTTGAGATCAATCCCTCTTAGACAGTGTCGACAAAGATTTTTCCCTTCATTTCTGTTTCGGTGATAGCTGGTGATAGTTCTAAATCCCCATCACTTTCTATCCAGGTGAAAGTGGTCACCAGAACAGCGTGATGAATGTCCTTTTCCGTAACCCATGCAAAGAATTGTTGTCTATAGATACACTTTAAAGGAAACCTATATTGCGTGAAATATGTAGGCTTTAAAGGAAACCTTTTATTTATGGAAATACGTAGGGTTTCATTACTAATCTTTCTTAAGATCCTAGTTGCCTAATGGTTATGTTGATCCAGTGGCAATATAACTTTTTTAAGCCACAAACCTGGAACAAGTGTGTATGTCAGCGGTTATCAATTCATAGTGTACATACTTGTTCCAGGTTAGTGACTCAAAGTACTGAAGCCGGAGAAAGCCAGGCAACCCACATTTTTAGAATTAGACTAGCAAGGGCAACTTATGGATTTCTCTCCAGTCAAGTTTTCTTTTAAAGATAGGTTGTTGAAATGATTGATCTCTTATATGTTATAAACCATAGAGGTCCTCTATGCCTTAGAGGCAGCCATCTGAAGAGAGGTGCTACTAGTCATGTCATGATAGGACCTTTTACAGGGGACTGGGTGGATTTATTTTCATTCATTTTTTTATTTGTGTCATCACAATGTGTTTATAAATACCCCTGGAACTAGCCAAAAACAAATTGGTAACAACATGTGCTCTGTGGAGCAGTCACAGCAGACACATGGCTAAGAATGGAGCTTGTGCTTGAATTGAGAATGATGTGCAGAGTTATGTGTTTCCAGTGGATTTCAGATCCACTTATCTTAACAGAAAACTGTAACCCTTTACAAAAATCGAATGAGAGCCAAGTGTCATCAACACTCATTAAAATTTCCAACATGTTTTTGTTTAATTATCCTTGAACAAATGTAGGCTATTTGCACCTCCCCTGCACTCTGAAGCCCATGTCTTATTTGATTGCTTTATTTGCCCCTCTTCCTTTTGTAGCAGTTGTAGCATTTACATGCATGCTTATAAAAATCTTATCAAATCCAATCCACCTTCATGTAGCACAGGCATGAAGCTTAGGCATCATGAGAGTAACCACTGCCAACAGGGGAATAAACATGTCGCCACCCCGACATCTCGGCTATGCTGAGACCACTGCACTGGCTGCGATGCGAGTCCACACTACTTTTTCAATCTTCCTTATTCTACTTTGAACCTTTTCAGGGGAAACTGGCTGTGCTAAACTACTATTTAATGAGGTGAGCTATCATGGGGAAGCAATTTTTTTTACAGTAGCATTCAAACTATAATTTGGTAACAATTTCTGATGCTATTAGTTAATTCCAACACTTTGCCAGTTATTTTTTTTTTTTTTTTAAAGCTGCTTTGGAAGTTTCCCCATTCTTGACAAAGGCAAATGTAATCCCAACATATGTGTTATAGATAGACTTTTCCGTTTTCTTTTTTAAAGACATTATGCCCAATGCAGGGATGGTGGGGCATAACCTTTTCTCGAAGTACTACTAGGTTTTGTTTTTTTCATTTTTCACTTTTTTATTACCTTGTGCTTCACTTTTGCATCACAAACGTTCATGTTATGCTAGTATTAATTGGCAAGATAGTAATATAAAAAAGGCTTGTGGTTGTGCTGTTGATGGGTGGAGATTGAGCTTGTTAATGGTTACTGGTGGTTATGTTTGTTGATTTTCATGTGCTTTACTTTTATTGAAATGATAGCCCAACAGTCAGCATATATGGGGGTTTTCAGTGCTTCTTTCATTCTAAATTGTTTTTTTACACAACTACCGAGGGAAAATAACCATAAAAGTACTAAAGTCTATAATAGTTCTGTTTACAGCTTTATTTGAATATTTTTTTTTTCCAAGTCTACAGACCTGAAGGATGCTGCTGTGCTGTCTTACATCCATTTTTCTTTTATTTTTCTAGATGGAGTACATGGCCCAGCACCTGGTCTTTGCAAATTGCATTCCATTAATTTTAAAGTTTTTTAATCAAAATATCATGTCATACATCACAGCCAAAAACAGGTAATAGATATCAGAGAATTGTGAGTAGACAAGCATTTTCTGCTAATGTATGTTCAATTCTCACTATATTACTGTTTTCTGTAGTATTTCAGTTCTGGATTACCCATACTGTGTGGTCCATGAACTGCCTGAATTGACAGCAGAAAGTCTGGTAAGCCTTATTACTTAACACCAAAGTCTTTTAAATGCTTGTTTTAGACCTACTATAGCTTATGTTTTGCTATTACAATATTTATACAGGAAGCTGGGGACAATAATCGATTCTGCTGGCGAAACCTGTTTTCGTGCATAAATCTTCTCCGTATCTTAAACAAGCTGACGAAATGGAAACACTCCAGGACCATGGTTAGTAGGACATATATATAGTAGATTTAAATCTGTTTATATACCTAAAATATTTTTCTTATCATAAAACTGTGTTTACTTTATTGTTGTTTAAGGGATTCATGAATTCTATTACAGCTGGGTTATGCTGCCAACTACGGGAGGTTGGGACACTTTTCTTCATGTCCTAGGAGATTGGACGCCTCTGTCAGAATCTCCTGCAGCTCTGTTGGGCAAGGCCTAGGCCTCCTCCATGTCCAGAGAGACCTTCAGACCACTGTGGACCTGCTAACTTTTTGTGCCTGGTTATTGGAACAATCTGCCCACAAAGGCTCTAAGCTCTCCACGGCACCATGTCTGGCAAAGTCTGCCTTTGAGCCTAAAATCCAGCCAAGCCTGTAGTCTCTATCTCCAATTCAGAGCCTGAGCCCAAACAGTCCTCCTCCTGAGGAGGCTAATATTTTGAGTCACCTGGAAATGACCCAGATTTAAGAGGGGTTGTTTCAAACCTGATTGATTGCAGTGTGTGCTACCCTACATCTGGGGGATCAGCCTGTTCCAGCTCTTGTGTCTTTTAGGGCTCCTGCTTTCCACTACACAATTTTGGTGTTTCTATGAGGACTGGAAACACCCTGAAGGGTTCTGAGTCCCTCTTGACAGTGTGTCAGAACTTTTTTTTTTTTTTTTGCGAGAGAGGGTTCATAAAAGGCTGTAGATGCTCCAATTTTCCGCATTTACAGGCACGCCACCAGATGGGTTAGAAGTGTTGACTTTTCCGGAGTTTACTTACAGAGCGCTAAACTTGTTTCTCAAATCCCAAATTAAATAGACTGGAGTGGCTCTTTGTCCTATGCGGGGGCGGGGGGCTTAATCTGCCTAACTGTGTCAAAATAGATAGACTCCCTAAAAGGGGACCCCTCAGTCACTAGGGTATGCCTTTGGATCATTAAGAGATTTGCCAAGGATATCTTTTTATAGATTTCTCAACTCCGTTGTGCCTTTATGGTACAATTTGACTTGACAGCATCTGCTATCTCTAATTACCCGCCTACTGATATATTTAAATCACAAGGTGCGAAAGGTTTAATATCTAGGTTGTACTCTTATTTGTTACATACTAGAATTGGGAAAACCCTGCTACTGGCTAGATCTAAATGGTCTTGATGTATTGTTAATATGTCGGATCAAGACTGGAAAGATATATGCTCCTCTCATTTAAGAGTCTCAAAGGCTATTAACTTCAAAATTATAAATTGTGCATTATACATCAAGCATATTTATTGTCATATTTATTGTCAATCAGATTATATAAGAAGGGTTGTCTATCGACTACCATATATTTGCGGTGTCATCAGGATAATGCAGATTTTCTTGATAACTTGATAAACTTGATATCTTGAGTACTTGATAAACTATCCATCACACTCTCAAGACCAGTGCCATATACGATCTTACTGTGTCTGTTTACAGTGTTGGATAAAGAAGAGTGGATGAAATATGAAAGGATATTTCTATCCGAGACTTTATTTATGGCCTGCAAACTTATAGTTTTAAAGTTGATGCAATCAGAAGCACCAGAAATTGCCCACTAGAGTAGAAGGTAAATTAGATTATTTCATATGAGAAATTGATCTTTCAACCCACGGTAATCATATTAAGATTTGGGAAACCTGGATGAAGTCTGATGAGTATATATGGGGTTTAGTGGTTTGTGGTACACTGGCTATATGCATTAACTTTGGAGTTTGTAAACTATACATTTTGATATCGTACGAGGTATTTATTTGACGAAAAGACTATAGAGTATTAGGGAACAGTTTTTATGGTTAGACTATCCTTATGAAATGTTTAATATGAATTTATGTGGTTTTTGGATTATATGGATATGTCTAAAGTTTAATATGCAATAAAGAGTGTTTTAAAAAGATTAGAAAAAAAAAATATTTTCAGTTTCAAATTTTCATTTTGGTGCATCTCTAATATTTACCACAATTTGTCTGGGGCAAGTAACTACACTGGCATTTCACTGTTCTTCAATAGGAAAAGTTGCTTCTACCATTTGCCCCATTTATAACCCCGTTAACGTTACAGTTGCTAAATGTTAGTTTTCCATTTAAAATAAGAAAAATGTCCTTCACATTGGGGAACAACAAGTTCCCAATATTTAACTAATCCAGTTTTTCGAATATCAATAATTTTCTGGGAAATTATTAAGCATGCTCCTATATTTTCTTCAGTAATTATTGAAATCATTTTTTTTTTATTTTCCATAGTGCTTGCTTAAGTAATTCTGAGTAGCTTGGGAAAATAAAAATGTATATTCTTTTAATGTCTATGTTTTGAATGTTCATTTGTTTCTTAATAGATGCTTGTGGTTTTTAAATCTGCACCCATCCTAAAGCGAGCCCTTAAAGTTAAGCAAGCCATGATGCAGCTGTATGTACTTAAGTTGCTAAAAGTACAAACCAAGTACCTTGGGAGACAGTGGAGAAAAAGCAACATGAAGACTATGTCAGCTATCTACCAGAAAGTCCGACATCGTCTTAATGATGACTGGGCCTACGGGAATGGTATGAAGTCTTTGTTCTTAAATATTTGTATTTGCTTTCATTCAACCTTCAAAAAATGCATGACATTACACATATTTACTTTTGCTATAGATCTTGATGCTCGTCCCTGGGATTTTCAAGCTGAGGAATGTGCTCTTAGAGCTAGCATTGAACGGTTCAACTCTCGACGATACGATCGGTCTCATAAGAATCCCGACTTCCTACCTGTTGACAACTGCCTTCAAAGTGTGCTTGGACAACATGTAGAACTGCCAGAAGACTTTCAGATGAATTATGATCTTTGGCTAGAGAGAGAGGTTTTTTCTAAGCCTATATCCTGGGAAGAGTTGTTGCAATAAAACATACAGTACAGCACCTGCACAAGTGATAAATTACTTCATCTCAACATCTACAACACAACTATAGCCTAAAATTTTCGAATCCTTTGGCAGGCATCTTTGGCCGTTATAACTAAGCACACCTACCTGCCGTTGTTCCTGGAAGCAACCTACATAGGCTGCACTGTATTTTTAAGAGAGGTTACATATGGAAGAACCCGTGGACAATATTTATTATTTTATGTTTGAAGCTCTCCACACTCCAGTCTTTCATCTTTTGATGACTAATTGTACATTGACTTATGTGTCTTGTGAAACATTGTGCTCACATTCCATACTTGGGTCGTGCTCTTGGAATGGACCAAATGTCTAAAACGAATGGCATGCACAACACATAGTTCTATTCATTGTGTATTTTTTGGAGTGTGGTGAGGGGTTAAAGTGTTTTTATATTTCTCCAGGTGTATTCAATTATAGTTTTCTTCACCAATGAAATCCTTTTTTTTTTTTTTCTCGTGCCTTATGAATTTTTTGCTCTTTTATTTTGCAAAGGAAGAGTGTATTGTATATGTGTATATATACTGTATTAGTGATTCTTTCACACACAAATCTCAGGTAGACAAACGGCATTTACATTTACTGACATCAGGTTTTAGGAGACCGTTGGTCACTCAGAAAAGTGCCATTGATAAGATAAACAGTATTGTCCTGACTAGCTTTCCGACAATGGGACAGCGTCTTCTATTGCGAAAAGCTAACTTTCACAATGGGATATTCAGGTGTTTGTTCATAGCTGCCCTGTATTGCTTTTTTTCTTTAGTTGTAGCTAGCTTTCTCATAATGGGACATTCTTTTGGGGAAGCTTTGTGTCAACAACACACCCAAGCTGGTCAACAATTGCCTGGCCTTAGGCATTTAACTGACCGTAGATGGCATTTGTGGTGCTGTGCTACCATCTAGATTTTGAAAAAAGAGATATACCAGTTGTAGAAATTTGATGAGTAGATTAAGAGAGATGCCCACAGGTGGGATACCCATTTTCTAAATAAAAGCCAGCAATAGGACTTCACTGAGGCCAAACTCGAGGAATGCACTTGACCAGGGAACCAGAAGGACAACACTAAGCCACGACCAGAAGCCATTTTCCTAAGACCGATTAACCGCCATGAAGTCCTGTGCTATACGGAATCTTGTAAACCAACTCAAAGCCAAGTAACTTTAGTGTATCCTATTGCTTAAACCTTTGCATGCACTAGAAAGGATAAATTAGTGTGTGTAAATGTAATTGTAGCAGCCTGTTTGCCTTCTATTCTTTTACCTGTAACAAAGTAGTTTGTGCACGTAGGATTTTGGTATAGTAATAGTGTCACGGCCTGGGAACCGGGGCACTAGGGATTGTGAGTTCTGGGTTTTGCAGAGCTGTCTGGAGCAAGGAACTGGCCAGGAACACGGGTCTTGGGTAGTGAAAGGATACACAAGAAGCACAGAAGCAATGAGGGTCACTGAAAAGGAATATAGAGTAGTGCTAAGACTTAGGGAATATACGTAACACAGGAGCACAGGTGACTCGGGAGGAACACACAGAAATGTGAAACAATAGAGGAACAGGGTACAAAGGCAGTACTCACAAGAAGCTTGGATACACACGCGGGAGGGGGAGAACAGAGGGGATTAGAAGTTAGGACGTACCATGCCGAACCTACGGTCTTTAAAGCCCATGCTTTCCAGGACCGCATGGAACGTTCATAGTTGCAAAGGGGTTAATGCATCTGAGTTGCAGGCCTGGACAACATTTTTAAGCTTTCAAGCAAATTAATTGACTCAATGATGACAAGATTGAATGCTCTGATTTAACTATTTCAAGCAAACGCTTAAACAAAATTCTAACAGTGTGTTGCCTGCTTTAGTGTGGAAAGTTTGTACTTTCTTCTATGTGTCTTTTATCAGCTCTAATTGATTAATGGACAGATTACCCACACCCCATCTGTGTATATATTAATTGCAGCTCACGTGGATGTCACAACCATTCCTGCCAACAGCACTTTAATTAAGGCACAACAAAGAAATCAACTACAAACCATGCACCACTCTGAACAGACTGCAAGTGTACCCTATTTGTTAATCTAGCTCTCTCTTTCACAGTCTGCTTCCCACTCTTTCCACCCTCTTAACATGTTCACCCTAAAACTTTCCTTCTCACAATTGGGCCCTCTCTTCTCAAATTCTCTTTTACCCCTCTCCACTGCCCATGCACATCACCCACACTCATGTCCTCTCCCTATTATAGCATGCATCACCTCCTGCTTTTTCTGAACACAGATGAAGTCATAACCTCCAGACCATAAGACCACATGCCTTCATATATTTCTCACTCCCATCTTACCTCCCTCGTTCTCCTAACCTCTGAGGATATCTCCCAGTTCCAGTTTCTCTGAGAATTGTGTGATTTATTAGCCTCCAGTACTGGTGTTGTGCTTCCTGAACAACTTCTTTATATGGCTAGCCTATTGACCCTCTCTGAAATATCCACTATCCTCTTATGTGACTTTAACATCCCTGCTAATTTTAACAACCCCGATACCTCCTAACCTCTTCTTTTGACCTATTGAAATGGACACACACTTTTACTCACTCTGACGGCAAAACCCTTGACTTTGTATTCTCCTACACCTGCATCCTTTCCTGACCCTTATAAGTTTCCTGCACTCCCTGTCTTCAACCTCCTAACCACCTGTCCTCTGGAACCTGTCCACTCGCAACTACTATGATCCCCCAATCTACGCTTTCTAACCCACATCTTCTATCTCTCCCTCTACTGGCATTCTCTCTACCCCTCTAAAACATGCACAGGTCAACCCCATACTTAAAAACCCTCACTGGACTCCACCAATTTGAACAACTTAAGACCCATTTCCTTGCTCCCATTTACCTGTAAACTTCTAAAACGTCTTGTCTACAACCGTCTGAGCTGCCACCTTGCTGAAAACTACTTTCTTGATCCCTTACAGTCTGGCATCTGCCCACAACACTCTAATAAAACTACCTTCCTAAAACTCACTAACTTGCCACTACTCTGTACTCCTACTCCTAGACCTTTCTACTACTCTCCAACTGCCTTGTCACCTTTGCTCACCTCCAAGTCTCTCCTATACTCTAAAACTCCCCGCCCCAAACTCCTTCACTGTGTTTAGGTGATCCCTGAACTCATCTCTTCAGGGAAAGCCTATCCCATGTCCTACTAAACTGTACTTCTCGTAAGCTCTTATCAACAGGACCCCCCTATCTTCTTGTATTGAATTGTATTATAACTGTAGTGACTCCCTTTATTTTGTTAAGTGCTGTGCAAACTGTTGGTGCTATACAAATCCTGTATAATACTACTAATGCAGCATGTCACAGAGTTTGTGAATCCTCTGTGCAAAAAGGTACAGTAAATGTGTTCATCCTACTTAGATATGCAGGGTCACGGCATTGCCAGATGATGTTGGAACGATATGCAGGCACAAGCTGATACATGCTAGACTGATGTAAGTACAGGCAGGGGTGGCAGCTCACTGCTGCATGGATGCATGACACTTGGTCATCTTCCTGGGCAACTGCAGGTAATATTGGAACATGGTAACGGAATTAGAAGACTGGATGAGTGATCAGGTATGCCAAAGGCAAATAGCACATAGTCAAAATGACATGCGTTATGCTATATGCTTGTCTTGTAGCCCTGATAAAGGGGGAGTGTTGTTGCTGACTTTCTGTTTGTGGTACCTGTAATCTTAAGTTGAATAGTGAATGGGAGCCAACTCTCTTTGTGGTGCAGAGCCAGGTCCTCTTCTGTGCTATCTGCCTCTTCATCCTCGTATGAACCCTTTCTAGAGCCTTTAAGGGAGCCTGTGACTATCTCACTTTTTAGTCTTTTTCTTTGTCGCAATTGGTTCAGACTCTTTCCAGTCTTTATTGATGGTTCTCCGGAAACGCTCCCTTTAGGCTTGCAATTTATCCTTCTGATGTTCCAGCATCCCCTGAGCCAAATAATGTGTCATCTGCAGCAAACACTTTTGAGATGTAATAGTTACATTAGCTGTGCGAGGATGAACAAACGGCAACATTTCTGTCACAATAAAGGAAACAGTTTCTGCTTTTATTCAGGCTGTGCGACCCTCAAGTTACCAGACTCATTTGCCTCGTCCTGTAGTAAGGCCACAGCAATAAGTATTCAACCAAGTTTTTTTGTATGATCTTTTGTTTGATTTCCTTTACAAGGATTGGAAACAAGGTTTTTCCTTTTCCTAAATGTTTTTTTCAGTTCTGTGTCCCTTTGCGCAGGGTGCCAGTGATGAGCAGGGGGGTGAATGATTAGGTGGCAGAACATCCATGGGTGCTACTGATTGGAGAGGAAGGGCAGAACAACAGCGATGAAGATTTTTGTCCAGGGACAGCTTGCAACAGATTGGTGGGAGTAGTAATCTTAACTCATTTGATGACACGGCCCCACAGGTACAGGTCACTGTTATCCTCAGGGTTGTTCAATAGAGCTCTGCAGTGTGTGCCTTTTTAACCTATCTGCTTTTGGGGCAGATAGAAAAATTTTCCCAAATCGCTCCCATGCCCAACTGATTAATACCAGCTTGGCAATACTGCTAGCTTTGAAGCTGCTTTCAGTCCAGCTAAGGAATCAGCCCCCTTGAGGAAATTCATAGCCTGTGCTACACCACAGTGGCAGGTATCCAGCTGCCAGTACCTTGCCCAGAAAGCCATCCCTGCCCTTCATCATCATCATGTGGAATGTCATATGTGGACATATTGGACAAGACACATGGTAGCATCAGCAGCTACAGCAGTGTGCCTCATCCTCCATCCTTCCCAGCAGCCAGAAAATTGATTTAATTTTGGGGGCGGGTGGCATTCAGTAGTGCAGACCTTTGTTTTTTCATAAAAGGTCTGCTTTAAAAAGAAAGGCCTCTGAAAAACAATTGCACATAAGAATAATACGAACAGCGCTCTCGGATTGGGCCAGGGGAATGGGATGCTGTAGCTCTACCTAGCCTGCAGCCCTGGGAGACAGGAGGA